GCTGTGAAATTAATGTATGTGTGTGTGTGTGTGTGTGTGTGTGTGTGTGTGTGTGTGTGTGTGTGTGTGTGTGTGTGTGTATGTGTGTGTGTGTGTGTGTGTGTGTGTGTGTGTGTCAAGCCTGATGCAGTGTTGGAAAGTTGTGTGGTTGTGCCATACAGGTGTAAAGGTGCAGAAGCAGGTAAAGAGGAAGGGAAAATACAGATACAGGTTAAAAAAGAAGAAAGAACTAAAAAAAGGTGGTAGGGGTTTGAAGTGGTGATGAACAGGTGATCTTATCATCTAGAATACGGATTTAGCAGCTGTTTAATCCTGACGTGATCAAACCCAGTGAATCCTGATAAGAATAGTAAATGTCTGACCTGATGTTGGGCTAATACAGCCAGTCTGTCACTCCTCGCTCCTTGTAAAGCTTATTGTCCACATAAAGCTTATCCACCGAGATGACAGCTCTCTTCCCATCCTGGATAAACTTTTTGCGCAGTGGAAAGAGGACTCGGCGCCAATCCAGAATTTCCTTAGGGAACTGGTCATTAACGCTGAAGTCTTTCCCTTTGAGCTCTCTTCCGTGACTTTTAACAAGATTCTTCTGCTTAAAATGTTCAAATTTAGCCACGATGGGACGAGGTCTTCTGCTGTCCCCTCTTTTAGCTCCAAGGCGATGTACCCGGTGAAAGGTGATGTTTTTTACCTTTTCTTCGGGTATCTTCATTTGGGTCTGGAGAAAGTTTTTTATTGTTTGCTCGCAGTTCTCCGTCCCTCCCACCTGCTCCGGCAGGCCTGCGAACACCAAATTATCCCTCATGCTACAGGCCTGAAGGTCCAAAACCATCTCCTTCAGAGTTTTGTTGTCCTGGGTGATCCGCGTTATTCCCTCTTCCAGGGAAGAAACGGACTCCCGCAGAGACGCGCGTTCTCAGCAGCAAGCCGCTCCACCTGCTCCTGGCTGAACTCCAGAGACTGACGGAAGTTCTGAAACTCCTGGTGTAGAACCTCAAGCAGATGAAGACGCCCCTCAAATCCCAGAAGCCGTTCATCAATAGAATCTAATAATTCTAATGTCTTTCTGGGGAGATGAGGCCTCAGGCGAGTCCTGAGGACGGCTCCTCTTGGTCCCAGGAGTTTCAGGCTCAGCTGCTGATTTCTTCTGACCCATGACGAAAACTTCAAAAACTTTGTCAATATAATTTAGCAAACTTTCTAAATTTCCTTCACTTACCTCCAGATTGAGCGAGTAAAGCCTGGTTTACGCTTCTTCGTCAGCTCCGCAAGGGACAGACACGCACGGATTGACGGAAGCATTTTGCTCTTTTACTTCTCCATCTCCTGGAGAGTGTTGCAAAGCAATTGCCCGGCAGGACAACAGAGGGCGTAGCGCTGTTCTGTGGTATCATGTCATGTATCCGGTCCAAGATAGTGCATTTATATTGTGTTTTTTGTGAATATAAGAGACTTTTAACACGGACATATTTGTCTCTCATTCTCCCACCTCTTCATGCGCTCCCCACCTCTAAACCCACGTTTCCTGTCATTTCCGTCCACAAATAAAACGCTTGCTGCGCATCTTTTCACTCCTCCAGTCACGGGAGGATGAAACGTTCATATTCTTAGTTTTTTCGCGAGGTATTCTTCAAGCTTCTTCGTGTCTGCCGCTAGTTATCCTCGGCTCTCTTTGCACTGGCGGCGCTGTAAACAACAGCGGCGTCCTGACCAATCACAAGCTTGCGTAATCCGTCTCGTTCGACGGATGTTTAAATAAGTGGGCTTGACTCCGTACGTACTTGCGTGCCTGCCGGATCCCTACGCAAGGACGGATAATGGCGTTGCGTGTGCTCCGCACTGACGCAGACGGAGAAGCATAAATCAGGCTTTATACTTATCAGATTATTTTTGCGTTGTCAGTAGTTAAATTAGGCAAAAAAGCATCTGAATTGTTTGTGGATGTTTGCTAACGAGCTGCCATCAGCTTCAAACGCTGCTGTGTCCGGTGATCGGCCGTTAGCGCATGTGCATCTCTCCCGCCATGTTTGAAGTCTGTTGCAAAGAAGGATTCTCCAGAGAATCAAGAAAATGATGGACAACCCTGAGCATTCTCTTCACAAGACTGTCCGACAACGGAAGAGTGTCTTCAGTCAGAGGCTTCTTCAGTTTGGCTGCAACACTGACCGCTACTGGAGATCCTTCCTGCCAACAGCCGTTGTAATATACAACACCTCTTTGATGACTTGATCATTATTATTATTCTGAGCTACTACAGCAATCAATTTCCCTCTGGGATTAATAAAGTATTTTTGAATTGAATTGTATTAAAGTTGTTGCTGCTGAGGGCTAAGGGACTAGATGGTTCAGAGCTATGATTCTGTGTAAGTTTGGCAACTGTACTGAAAATAAATTCTGGATTATTCTTATTTTCCTCAATTAGCGATGAAAAATATGTAGTTCTAGTTTGTTGAAGCTTATTTTTTATAAAGCACAAGACTATTTTTCCAGGATAAGTAGGACGCCTCCTGGTGTGTAGAGCATCATGTTCTCTCCAATTTTCTAGTTTTGTTTTAAAGGGATAGTTTGCTTTTTGAGATATGAAGTTGTATGCGTTCCTTATCCCACCCAGTGCTCTGTAAACAATGACCCATTTCACACACACACCCTGCTCAGAGATTTTCAGGGGGAAGGGATTCAGGAAACAACTTCTGGCTAGTTTTGGGGGTACTGTATCTCCGCCGTTTAGCGTCACAAAAGGATTTTCCTCTGAAAGCATGACTAATGTACATCTCAGAAACACAGCCAGGTAAATTGACAACTTCACATTAAAATGGGACTACTTTTTATCATTCCTATCATGCGCCACTCGGCGCAGGGACAAAACGGCGTCATCTGGCTGCTATAATCCTGGCTGTATGAGTGAAACAACAACTTCCAAAGTCACTTAAAAGGAGTTGTTCTTACATATATAGAGCCATGGTGCGTACTTGCAGTTTCCCGGTTGTAACAATAAGGATGTTACTGGATCACCTTTTAGGTTCCACACTTTCCCTGTGAAGGCCGCTTCTCTAGCATCACTTTTGGCAATCGGCTACACCATGGATACTCGGCTGGAATTACTCAAAACATTCTGTTTGTGCAGTGCACACTTCAAAGAGGACGATTACATCAAGAAAACATTCGGGAACAATGAGAGACTCTTGTTGAAGAGTTCGGCCGCAGTAGCGGTTTTAGGCACGGGCAGACAGGGCAGTTGCCCGGGGCGGCATTTTTTCATGACACAAAAGGGGCGCACAAGCGCTGAGTAAAAAAAAAAAAAAAAAAGGAAATCTGCGCCGCACCGAGGTTTTCTATTATCTGTCATATGACAGTGTCTGGATTGGAAACTGCAAGTTGGCGCCCCCTGCAGCTGCAGACGCTCCGTGCACCGTGTGTGTATGAAGAAGAGGAAGGGGAGGGGTGCGGCGGGGGAATTCACCTCTGGGTGGGTCCAAATGAAATGAGCAGGTAGGGGCTGAATCAACTGTATCAACATGGCTAAAGTTGATCACATCTTGATGTTCTTCCACATTTCATTCATAATATCATAAACACAGGCCTATCATTCTTTCAGGTGTTTCTGAATTGTGTGAAATGGCCGAATAAAAAAAGGAAAAACAAAACGATTTTGTGGTCACACCCCCATCAAGGTCAAATTGTTTAGTCCTTACTGAAGGAAACTTATCGAGTCAGGAGCCAAACAGAAGAGATGAACATAAAAAGGCTAAAACCACCAGGTGCCCGATTCAGGAATAAAAAAGAAAAAAAGAGGAGAAAAATAAAGGTATGTACGCTCTCATGATGAATGTTTTCAATTTTTTGAACCAGTTAACTGGGATTTTAACGGTTAAATTCGGTCAACTAGTTGCTAACAGAGCTAATAGGGCTGAAATATTGAAACGAATATTCAAATGGTTCGAATAAATTCCTTGAATCGTTTTTTACTGATTCAAACTAGGATTTGTTAAATGCTCACTGCAGCCTGTGGCCTGCCTGAACAACAACAAACACATGTTGATCAAGTTCACATGATAATAAATAAAACAACTCTACAAGCAGAAGAAAACACCCCAGTCACCACTAACTATCCTGTTTATTTATTGCAGATGGCTGCACTGATTATTTTTACATGATTTGTTCTGTAAAAGTTGGCATTTTTGGTAGTCTACAGTTTTTTTTATGTCAGTTTAAATTACAATTTCAGAGGCAATTCTAAAATATTATGGATCATGATGAAGATCTATTGGAGATCTCCCCCAACTTTTGGACTGCTCTGCCAGTCACTGTGGCTCAAGTTGAGAGGAGCTTTTCAAAACTTGATCAAGTCATACCTGAGGTCAGCTATGTTTCAGGGGCGGCTCACTAACCTGGCTCTGATTAGTATCAATCACTCAGTAGGGGAGCAGATTTCATATGATGACATCATTGATGACTTAGCATCAAGGTTAGGTTTTAATTTTAGTTTGTGCTTTCTATTCTAAGTGCAATGCTGTAGTGATTATCTTTAGTTTGTTATGTGTGAAATATTTTTGCTATTTAGAATATTTATTATATATTATGTTCATATATTCTTAATATTTAGTTATTGTTTGTTTTTGTATATTTGATTCTATATATTTTGATACAGTGTATAATGTATATTGCCTTACATTCTGACAACTTCATAGTAATTAATGTAAATATGTGCAACTTAGAAAAATGAATGTTCAATAGTCGTTCTAATAAAACATGCCTGTTTGTAGAAAACATGCGTGTGTTCGTGCAGGTGGGGTGGTGGGGGTGGGGGCGGTTGGGGGGGCGCTCAAAGGGGGCCTCGCCCAGGGAGTAATTCCATGTAGAACCGCCACTGTTCGGCCGTACCAGAAATCTGGGTACGTTTTGTATATTTTTATTAATTTATTCCGGCTATGTCCGCCGTATTCATGCAATCATCTTCACACTGATGATGGTTGATCGTAGACTGCAGTAGCTTAGTCAACAATCTGTGTTGATGTGTGAGTTTTGTGTAGCAAATGCACGTAACGTAGCACAGGGGATCATCAAGTACTGTTATACCTGTTGAAGCTTTGCTAAACTGAAAAATGAATCGTATTACAGTTGTGCAAAGTTGCAGTGACAGTGGCTTTCAACTTCGACTGGGCGGGGGCTGGAACATCACATGGTAACTCTCCCGGTTCATGACAGAGAACTGTTTCTCTACGACAAAAATCATCAGCTAGCTATTAAAAATTGGCTTGTTGTTGTACAGGGAAACATTTATCTAACCGTGCATAGGACAATAAAAAGTTTCAGTCTAATCAAACCTATTTGATCTGATGTTCAACAAGGTATGCAGTAGTACACCTTCTGCTACTAGTGGAACCGAACCCACAGAGGCCTGCAGTTACACCCAGCATATGCAGAACTTGAAGGACTCCCACAGTCAACACCTCGAAATTCTTCAGCTCAAGTACAGCACATGGAGCTGATTCGGAAAAGTCCTGCTGACACCTTCAGAGGAACAACCAAAGCCAGACTCGAGATCTGCCTCCTAAAGGCTACGCTCAGACAAGCTGGTCTCTCCACATCAGATGAAGAAGTCTGAAATTATTGTGGAGTTGCAAAATTGTTACACCAGCTTCCAGCACTCACCTGGAAGGTATCTCAGAACAGCGGTTTGGTTTTTGGGGGTGAAACTATGTGCTCCAAATACCACAGAAGTCAACTCTACTGGCTGTTTGTATCAACTTCTCCGACCGCTGGATCACCGGCAGCCTTCACCACAAGGACTCGTAGATTCTGCACAACTGGCGTGGGATGGTGTTTTTAATAGAGATTGTTAAACCATACATTCAGACTTATTTTACAACCCAGACATCACAATTTTCTAAGACACTTGGTTTTGCTACATAACATCTAAGTACACATTCCATCATTTCATTCATTGTCCCAGTTATCTTGTTTCAACCATAATTTATCATCATTTGTTCCGTGTCATCATTAGTAAATGGTAAATGGCCTGTATTTGATATAGCGCCTTCTAGAGTCCTGGAACCCCCAAGGCGCTTTACAACACAATCAGTCATTCACCCATTCACACACACATTCACACGCTGGCGGGGATGAGCTACGATGTAGCCACAGCTGCTCTGGGGAGCACTGACAGAGGCAAGGCTGCTGAGCACTGGCGCCACCGGTCCCTCCGACCACCACCAGCAGGCAAGGTGAGTTGTCTTGCCCAAGCACACAACGACAGTGACAGACTGAGCGGGGGCTCAAACCTGCAACCTTTCGATTACGGTGCGAGCACTTTACTCCTGTGCCACCATCCACACAGTAGTAGAAATGTAGTATTAAATTTGTTTTTAGAAACTATTTTTCACTCGGTCTCAAAATATTACGAAGGTGTGATTTCCCCGAACTACCAAAATGACCTGGTTTCATTTTAGATAAAATTTCAAAAGATCAATAATATTGATATTTCATATTTATATGGAAATATCACATCTTATTGATCATTTAATAAAAGTAACCACTTACATCAAGTTACACAACCAAAAGGCTTCTGTCCTGTGTGGACAATTGTGTGTCTCTTTAAACTTGTCTTCTGACTAAATCTTTGTCCACACAGCTCACAGGCAAAAGGCTTCTGTCCTGTGTGGACAATTGTGTGTCTCTTTAAACTTGTCTTAAAACAAAATCTTTGTCCACACAGCTCACAGGCAAAAGGCTTCTGTCCTGTGTGGACTCTTGTGTGTCTGTTTAAATCTGTCTTTCGGTTAAATCCTTTTCCACAGAGCTCACAGGCAAAAGGTTTCTCTCCTGTGTGGATTCTCATATGATCATTTAAATGTGTCTCATGACAAAGCTTTTGTCCACACAGCTCACAGACAAAAGGCTTCTGTCCTGTGTGGGTTCTCATGTGATCTTTTAAATGTGTCTTTCGGTTAAATCTTTGTCCACACAGCTCACAGGCAAAAGGCTTCTGTCCTGTGTGGATTCTTATGTGTCTGCTTAAATTTGGTCGTCGGTTAAATCTTTTTCCACAGAGCTCACAGGCAAAAGGCGTCTGTCCTGTGTGGATTCTTATGTGTCTGTTTAAAGTTGTTCGTCGGTTAAATCTTTGTGCACATAGCTCACAGGCAAAAGGCTTCTGTCCTGTGTGGACTCTCGTGTGTCTGTTTAAATCTGTCTTTCGGTTAAATCCTTTTCCACACAGCTCACAGGCAAAAGGTTTCTCTCCTGTGTGGATTCTCATGTGATCTTTTAAATGTGTCTTATGACTAAACTTTTGTCCACACAGCTCACAGGCAAAAGGCTTCTGTCCTGTGTGGGTTCTCATGTGATCGTTTAAATTTGTCTTTCGGTTAAATCTTTGTCCACACAGCTCACAGGCAAAAGGCTTCTGTCCTGTGTGGGCACTCATATGACTGTTTAAACTTGTCTTATAACGAAATCTTTGTCCACACAGCTCACAGGGAAAAGGCTTCTGTCCTGTGTGGATTCTTATGTGTCTGTTTAAATCTGTCTTTCGGTTAAACTTTTGTCCACACAGCTCACAGGCAAAAGGTTTCTCTCCTGTGTGGATTCTAATGTGATCTTTTAAATGTGTCTTATGACTAAACTTTTGACCACACAGCTCACAGGCAAAAGGCTTCTGTCCTGTGTGGATCCTCATGTGACTGTTTAAACTTGATTTTCCTATAAATTCTTTTCCACAGTGATCACAACTAAATGTTTTAGTCTTTTTCTGGACTTCCCTACATGAGTCTGCATGTTGCGTCACTATAACACATTCCTTACTAGCACAACAGCCTGAAGACCTTGTTGCTAAATGACTTGTCATTTCTGCTGTCACATGGTCAGCTGAGCTGCTCGCTGGAACATGTCGGTCTTCTGTTTGCTGCTGATGAAGCTGTGAGACGAGAGGTTTTTCTTCATCATCCTCACTCTTTATAGAACCAGCATTGAATAGAAATCTGGCAGCATCAGTCTCCTTCAAATGTCGCTGCTCTCTCTCCAGACTGGTCCAGAGGTTGTCCTGTTCCTCTTTTATGTGGAGGTGTTCTGGTTCCTGCTGGTCCTCACCAGCACTCTGTTCTTCATGAGCTTCTTCTTTAACCAGCGCCATTATTTTAACACCTGTAGGAAAAACAGAAACACAGTGAATTACTGAATGCTGTAACTTTCTATTCACACATTAAACAGTAATATTATTGCTTTAAAGAGCAAGTAACACCCAAACCAACTATTCTTTTGGCTGATAAACTGTATAAATGAGTATCTAATAGTGTTGTAGACATTCAAGTTTTTTCCTTTCAATTCAATTCAAGTTTATTTATAAAGCGCAAAATCAGGACCAGAGTCGTCTCAAGGACCTTCACACAGTAAACATTCCAGTACAGGTCAGGTCATTAAGCCGATCAGTAACAAGTTCCTTACATAAGGAACCCAGCAGGTCACATCAAGTCACTGACTAGTGTCAGAGTCTTTACAGCAGTCCTCATACTAAGCAAGCATGCAGAGACAGTGGGGAGGAAAACTCCCTTTTAACAGGAAGAAACCTCCAGAGGATCCTGGCTCTGTATAAGCAGCCATCCACCACGACTCACTGGGGATGGAGAAGACAGACACACACACACACACACACACACAGACACACACACACAGACACACACACACACACACACACACACACACACACACACACACACACACACACACACACACACTCGCTCCGAGCCTGCGGCAGTGCGGACTGATGCTAGCTAAATTACGTGAACCAAGTCCACGTCTCTCTTACTTTGTAACTATAGATATAGCGATTATAGCTGCAACACTGCAGGTAGGGAACGATCTTCAGAAGCAGTTAAAAGTAATTATTTAGCTTACTCATCCAAGTGGTACCGTCACGTACCGGTATCGATTCGTAGGTACCGGGAATTAGTACCGGATGGATTCAAATGTCAAAGGTACACATCCCTAAGACACGCCCATCTACTTCTGGACCACGGGTCCCCGCAAGAACGAGGAAATGAACGCAAGTCAACGGGGCTAAAAAGGCTATTTTCTAACCCCGCTTATGTGCCATGGACTTCATATACGATGTTCGTCTATTTTAAAGACGCATTTTCATGCCAAAAACGCGCTCGTTTTCAGACGGTTGTTTCAGGTTTTGTGTGAAAACGTGCAGGACTACAACTGTGCATCACCAAAGTGACTTCATTGAACCAGACACGGAGAAAAACGGAAGAAAAATGGCTGAAAGTTCAGCGACCCTCAAATCCTTCCTTCAGGAGGAAAGAACCACCATAAATCTGGTCATGTGGTGAGTAGCAGCTACGCTAGGGGGAGGACTATGTGGTGACGCCGATGTGTGACTCGTAGTCATAGTACTTACGAACTTTTACAAGCTGATAGGCAAGTTTGTGCCTGGATTGGTCCAAACACACATCATTGCTTTTTATTTAAATTGCAGTCTAACGCGTGTGATCCTGGTTCTAAGGCTGATTTCGCCCTGCTCAGGGACCCTTAAACCGAGCGGAGAGGGAGGAGATTAGGCTCCCTATGTCGTGGTTCTGCTGTCTTCTCATCTTGTTTTGCTCCTCTAAGTTTGTTGCAGGTGGGCGTGTCGGAGTGTCAGCTGCGGCTGATTTCCCATCAGCATGGCCAGGGGATTTAAGGAGCGGTGTTGCCACACTTCAGCGCCGGTTGATACTCTCACGTAGCGTAACCTCTAGCCACATCCCGCCCAGTCGGATTAGTTCTGTATCCTGTGCGTTTTGTCCTGTGCTTATTCAGCCCTCCCTGTTTACCGCAGTATCTGCCATGGATCCTCGTCTCAGTTTGCCTCAACGTCGCTCACCTCCCCTGGTCGTCCGCTCTCCACAGTCCACCTGCCCTGGATCCTCCTCAACCATCAACCACTCGCCCCCGCCTGACCCCTCTCTGCACAGACCTGACTTGCCTCCCCTTTCAGCCCATTCTCAGCCCAGCACCGTAAGATCATTCCACTTTATTCTCTTGGTTCTCAGTTTCCTGTTTCTCGCCCCGTTTATTCTTCTGTTTTAGACCCGGAGTTACATCCTGTCTCGCTTATGGAACAGCGCCCTTAGTTTCCCTTCTAGTTTCTTTAACAATAAACTTTTTATAATTTCTTACCTGTGTTCCTGTGTGGGATTCTCTCATGCGGGTCAGGAAACTTCCACCCACCATGACACCCTATGGAGAGCAGATAGGTGGTGTCACTACAGTTTACAATGAAGAAGCTAATGAACATCCCAAATGATGATAAAGGATCACCTAGCGTGTTACTGGATTAAACTAACTGATGCAATGTGGTCAGCATGTGTGCAGTGGTATGGCGTGTTAACCTGGTCCCACTGCAGTCAGTGTGTTTTAATATCTGAGCCGTTTCTGGTCAATCTATTGGCAGATGGTCCCTGAGCACTGGCTCACCGGAGGAAGGTATCGCTGCAGACCCGGAGACCGCAGATTCAGGCCGACTGCAGATTCAGGCCGACTGCAGATTCAGGCCGACTGCAGATTCAGGCCGACTGCAGATTCAGGCCGACCGCAGATTCAGGCCGACTGCAGATTCAGGCCGACTGCAGATTCAGGCCGACTGCAGATTCAGGCTTGTACTGTTTTTGAGACAGCGCCGCCCACTCTTTGTTTGCTAGCATTCCAAGATGGAGTACGATCGGATAGAACGTGGAGAACAGTATTTAATTAGTAAAAAGGAAGAAAACCAAAAACATACCATCCAATAGGACCAATAATGATGCAGCTGGGTTTTAAATAAAGTTTTACTTGAATAAAATGTGTTCAGTTCATCATAGCAAAGTTCCACAGCATTCTGCATTGAATTAATGAGCCATGTGTGTTTTGGCCCATCAGGGCGTTACGAGGTGGTTGAGCTAAGGATGTCCAGAACCAGGAAATTGGAAAAAGTTTTTTTTTTCTACAAACAACTTCAATTAGATAAATATGATAAAAGCTTTTATTAAAGGTTACTCAGGAGTTTCCACATTTGTATTCTGAGAGCGACTTCACTGAAGATTTAACAACGAATTAACTATTTTTAATAAGCTTCACCAGTCATTACATGTTTTTATATGTAATGGTTAAACAGCAGAAGCTTCAATCTGCAGTTGCAGTTACACGTTGGTCCTTTAGAGGGCGCTGTCTCAAAAACAGTACCAGCCTGAATCTGCGGTCTCCAGGTCTGCAGCGGTATACTCTTGCAGCGAGCAAGGCCGGATTAACCATATGGGCAACTGGGCAATTGCCCAGGGCCCACAAACTCTAAAGGACCCAGGGCAGCAAGGGCACGAGCAAAATACTGTAGGCCTATCTGTAATCTCCCGCTTTATATTAAACTATGGTGACCGTACGTCCGGTTTTCCCCAGACATGTCCACTTTTCACTCTCTGTCCGGGACGTCCGGACTGCGGGTTCTTGTATTGATGAAAATGTCCAGCTTTTCATCCAGGAGCAGGAATCGAATTATGGGGAGCTGTATATCCTACACATCCAGGGGAGCCGGAAAAAAGTTTTCTACCTATATTACATCATTTATGGACTCTTGAGCAGAGAGCACAGAGAGCGGCACAGCGCTGCATTGTTGCGCAGCGATCCAGGCTGCTGCTTCCAGCACACGGTCCATTCTCAAAGTGGCGCAACCAAAAAACTATAATTAACACACGATATTCTTGGAACCACCAGTAGACCTGCAGTCTGAGAGCGAAGTGCTCGGTTAGGAACATATGGAACAATCAGATCACTGATGTATGATGGAGCTTGATTATTAAGAGCTTTATATGTGAGAAGAAGGATCTAAAAATCTATTCTGAATTTAACAGGTAGCCAATGTAGGGAAGCCAAGACAGGAGAGATATGATCTCTCTTTTTAATTCTCATCAGAACTCTAGCTGCAGCATTTTGGACAAGCTGAAGACTTTTATCTACATTCTGTGGACTTCCTGAGAGTAATGAATTACAGTAATCCAGTCTTGATGTAATAAATGCATGAACTAGTTTTTCAGCATCACTCCTGGAAAGGATGCTTCTAATCTTAGCAATATTCCGAAGGTGGAAAAAGGAAATCCTACAAACTTGTGAAACCTGGGATTTGAATGACATGTCCTGGTCAAAGATAACACCAAGGTTCCTTGCTTTGTTCTCGGAGATCAATGTAATGCCATTAAGGTCAGGCGATTGGCTAAGCAATTTCCTTTTCTGGATTTCTGGTACAATGATGAGAACTTCCGTCTTGTCTTGATTTAAAAGCAAAAAGTTTAGAGTCATCCAAATTTTTATGTCCTCAAGACAAGCCTGTAATGTACCCAAACGATTAGGTTCATCAGGGTTAATGGATAAATATAGCTGAGTATCGTCAGCATAACAGTGGAAGTTTATCCCATGCTGTCTAATGATTTTACCAATTGGGAGCATATATATAGTAAAAAGAACTGGTCCAAGCACTGAACCCTATGGTACTCCGCAAGTAACCCTGGAGTATGGAGAAGATTTGTCATGTACATTTACAAAATGAAATCTGTCAGACAGGTAGGATTTAAACCAGCCTAACGCTGTTCCTTTGATCCCTACAACATGTTCAAGTCTTTCTAAAAGAACATTGTGATCAACCGTGTCAAAGGCAGCACTGAGATCTAACAAGACTAGAACAGACACAAGATTCTTATCTGAGGCCATGAGAATATCATTTGTTACTCTCACTAATGCAGTTTCAGTGCTGTGATACTCTCTAAAACCAGACTGAAATTCCTCAGAGCATTAGTGTTTAAATGCTGACATACTTGGATGGCCACTATTTTCTCCAGGACTTTGGATAAAAATGGAAGGTTAGATATTGGTCTATAATCACAACTTTAATGAATTTACTTTGAGTACATGATACGCCATAATTATCTATGAATTTATTATACGATAATGCGTTGCCATCATTGTCTAACAGGTGTAAAACAGTCCAAGTTCCATGATCCATCCAATCCTTACAAAAAATGGATTTTCTTTTTAGCAATATACATCTGTTGTTCCAAACTGAATTTGTATGTGGAGAAAAATGATGCTTGTAAATCATTTTCCAGTACTGTTTATGAAAATTAGATAATTTAATAGGTAATTTGGAAATTTCAAAGTCACAATTTAAGAGAAATTCAATGCCACCAAGCTTCTCGAAAATCATTTTAGGGAAATAAAACCAAATACTGTTTGAGTTATTTTTGAAAGACTGCAACCATTTGAGTTTGATGGAACCATCCATTGCTTCAAAATCAGTCGCATTCAAACCTCCTTCTTCAAATTATTTCACTACATCATTCTTCCTAATATAATGTTGCTTGTTTCTCCAAATGTAATTACAGTTCATTTGATTTATATTATTGATTAGTCTATTGGAAACATATAAGCATTGTGATGGATGAATCAGTCGAGACATACCTTCTGTTTTGGTAAGTAAGACGCGTCCAAAGATGGAGAGGTCTCTTTGTAACCAGCTGATTAGGATCTTTTTAGATTTCTGGGTAATATGCTCAAAATTTAGATTTTCTCTATTATTTGTATTCTTTGAGATTATAATACCCAAATATTTAATTTCAGTTTTAATAGCTATGTTAAGAGAGATACTGGGTTCACAACCATGAATATTTAATAATTCACATTTTCTGATATTCAGGTACAAACCAGAGGCCTTTGAAAATAATGAAATTTCATTTAGTGTGAGAGGAACCTGTGACGTGTTCTTTAAAAATAGTGTAGTATCATCTGCTAATTGACTTATGATCAATGGGGCTCCCATCAAGTTCAGTGCTGGAATATTTGGATTGTGTTTCATGAAAATAGCTAAAAGTTCCATTACAATAATGAAAAGTAGTGGCAAAGCAGGACACCCCTGACGGATTCCTCGACTGACGTTAAATCGTGTTGCAACACATTCTCACTCCCAGCGCGTCAAAAACAAACGCTTGGTCAGCCACCCTCCGCCTCAGACCCCTGACGCCACAAGTGCCCTTTTCTGTTACTTATGTGCGAAAAGGGCTTTTTCCCTTTTCTGACTGCAGATCCCAATGCAGCGTTACACTGACGCGATGGGATGTCCGCAGCAAGGGCACCAAACAAGCTCATTGCACCTCACCTTAACCTTATCCTCTTATTTAACCTTCCCCTCACCCCTATCCTAACCCTAACCATGTTGCTAGTGAACGCGTTAGTGATGTGTCGGTCGCTCTAAAAGCCGGCTCTATGAAGTGAACGGCGGGAGCTGCCTCGTCATTGGTCGAGTTTGGACCGAGCCAATGCGAGGGGGAGGTTTCAACTACCACGGTGGAGGTTAAAAGTAGAGGGTATGTGTAACCTCCCCCTCGCCAGATGGTATGTTCTAACGTTCCTCTTGGGCGGCAAATATGAAAATTCAGTCAGAATGCATGGGAAACAGACGCTTGATCACAGTGAGAGTAACGTTTTAGGTAGCAAGAGGGCTAAGGTTAGGATGAGGGAGAGGGGAAGGTTATAAATAGTGAAACGTTAAGGTTTAGGTGCGGTTAAATGAGCTGGTTCTGTGCCGCATCAGCGGAACTTGCAAAATCGCAAGGTGTTCAAATACTTATGTTCCTCACTGTACACCAGTAATAACTATTGCTATCATGGACTGGTTTAAAGGCTATGAACCAGACGTCAGACAGAAGTAAAAGTTTATACATTTCATAAATCATATTTAATACTATTTTTCTCTCCTCTGCCTGAGCTGATGACGAAGCCGTATGGACAGCACGCCTCATAGCAGCGATGCGCCTTTTGTGCAAAATAGTAAGAACATTTTATTTATGCAGCACTCATCACAGACAGAACCACAAAGTGCTTCACATAGATCTAAACAAAATAAAGCATAGTCATAAAATCAAAATGCTCTCTAAACAGAAATAGATTAACATCAGAAATAAATTAAGTCATAAAATAATTAAATTTCATAAACAGGTGAGATTGAAAATTTGAGTTAAAATTAAGAAAATAAAAGGTTTAGTTAAAAGCAGCTTTAAATAGAAGGGTCTTCAGCTGTGTTTTAAGTGTCCAGACTGTCAACGCTGCATAAGGGTAAAGGAGATCATTCCAGAGTCGGGGTGCAACATTCTGGAAGGAGCGATCACCTCGACTTTTGTATCTGGTCTTTGGGACTTCTAGAAGGTTCTGGTGGGTGGACCTGAGGGCTCGGGTTGGAGCATAAGGCTTTAACAGTTCAGTAATATAGGGAGGAGCTTGACCGTGTAGAGCCCTAAAGGTTCTAGTCAGGACTCTAAATGAACTCTAACCCCCAAATTCCACTACCTCCGCTCCGCTCCGGTCCGCCCCCGCCTTCCGCAGCCGCTCGCTTCCAAACTCAATTTTTACTGCTACCCGCTCTACAACGGCTCCGCTCCGGTGCGGAGACCTGAGGTGGGCAAACAAGCATGCGCAGGATTTTCGAGATCTTGCGATACAGTCCGAGCAATAAACGCGGAAGTTAGATCCAAACACCCGTTGTGTGGGAGAAGCATCGAAATGAACTGTTTAATCTGCCCATCATTTGTGTTGAGAGATCAGCAGTGTTTGGATCAACAAAGTGTGACTACTTTGATAGTGGAAACTGTATTTATGGCTTACTTTTGTGCATTTAAACTTCAGCCGCCATTGATAGTTGTTAAAAGTTGTTAAACCTGTGCATATGAAACAAAAAACGCTTTTTGTTTATCGATTTATTGTGAAAAACGGAAGTTGTGCTTGCTCCGTTTCCTGTTGGGCGGTTGTGATTCCTGTCCATTGACTGCGGAGGTGCTCCGGCGTCCGGCAAAAATAGAATTGATTCTATTTTTGCCGGACGCCGGAACAGAGGGCGGCGCACTGCCGGAGCACGGCCGCAGTAGTGGAATTGCTCTGATTGACTACAACGGGACCGATTTTGCTCCGGAGTTTGTGCCGGAGCGGAGCGGAGGTAGTGGAATTTGGGGGTAAAGTTAAAGGGTAACCAGTGCAGAGACATCAGAATAGGAGTGATGTGTGTTCTTCTGTTTGCTCCATTTAGGAGCCTCGCTGCAGAGTTCTGGACCAACTGAAGGCGGTCAAGGGCTTTTTAGTTAAAACCTGTGAAAAGTGTGTTACAGTTATCTAGACGGGAGGAGACAAAGGCATGGATAATCATTTCTAGTTCATGTTTTGACACCAACCTTCACAGTTTCAGACCGTTTTTGAGTGACCTTCAAGAGACATTGGTTGGCCAAAAACACCCAAATTCCTTAAGTTTGTCCTGACGGAAGAAGATAAATGACCAAGTTTCAGACTAATCAGGGGAACCATGCTCTCAGGGGCAATGATCAGACATTCAGTCTTTTCTGAGTTTAACTGGAGGAAGTTATCTTCTAGCCAGCTGGTGGTAGCTGATAGACACCCTAGTAATTCAGACAGTTTGTAGAACTCAGAATCCATAAAGGAGCAGTTCGGCTGAATGTCATCTGCATATAGGTGATAAGAGACGTTACGAAAAGAATCAAGTATCTGCCCAAGAGGGTGTATGTACAGCAGAAACAACCGTGGACCCAAAACAGAGCCTTGGGGTACCCCACAGAACAGATCAGTTGAATCTGAAATTATGCCTCAAGGAGCGTGTGACAGGCACAACGGGAGGGGCACGCTAGGGGAAGGACGACGACTGCAGACGCCGGGTATTTAGAGGAGAGACAGATATTTTTTCATAAATCTACCAGTACACAAAGTCCCGGTATACTGGGAGTTTATGAAGTGATGGTAATGATGCTGCTGAACACAGCCCACTTAAAACACTGCTCTCTGTCCCTAAAAAGGATATGAGTCTAACGATCTGATCCCCAACACCTGACCACCATAAACAGTTCCTGACAGCCGCTGTTCCTACAAACTGGTGTCAATAACCCCCTGGGGAAAAGACTTCTGTCCTGTATGGACTCTAATGTGAATGTTTAAAGTTGTCTTTTGGCTAAATCTCTTTCCACAAAGCTCACAGGCAAAAGGCTTCTGTCCGCTGTGGACTCGCATGTGAATGGTTAAATTTCCCTTTTGACTAAATTTTTGACCACAGAGCTCACAGTCAAAAGGTTTCTCTCCAGTGTGCACTCTAATGTGACTGTTTAAAGTTGTCTTATGACTAAATCTTTGTCCACAGAGCTCACAGGCAAAAGGTTTCTGTCCTGTGTGGACTCTACTGTGAGTGTTTAAATGTGTCTTCTGATTAAATCTTTGACCACAGACCTCACAGGCAAAAGGCTTCTGTCCTGTGTGGACTCTCATGTGACTGCTTAAATTTGTCTTTTGTCTAAATGTTTGTCCACAGAGCTCACAGGCAAAAGGTTTTAGTCCTGTGTGGACTGTGAAGTGATTGTTTAAACTTGTCTTATGACTAAATCCTTGTCCACATAGCTCACAAGCAAAAGGTTTTGGTCCTGTGAGCACTTTCGTGTGATTGCTTAACTGGGTCTCATGACTAAATCTTTGTCCAAAGACCTCACAGGCAAAAGGCTTCTGTCCTGTGTGGATTCGCATGTGATTGCTTAAATTTGTCTTTAGCCTAAATCTTAGTCCACAGAGCTCACAGACAAAAGGCTTCTGTCCTGTGTGAACTGTCATGTGACTTTTTAAACTTGCCTTATGACTAAATCTTTGTCTACAGAGTTCACAGGCGAAAGGCTTCTGTCCTGTGTGGACTCTAATGTGACTCTTTAAACGTGTCTTACAGGTAAACCTTTGCCCACACGGCTCACAAACAAAACCTCTCTCTCTTGTGTGGACTCTCGTGTGAAGGTTTAAACATGACCCAGAAGACCTTTTAGCTGAATACGTTATCACTCCTACGTGTCTCTGGAGAGACCGCTTGTGGAGAAACTGTTTACCACACTCAAGGCAGCTAAAGGATGTGTTGACAGCCTTAACATTTGACTCAGAAGACCTGCTTTCATTCCAGTCAAAGTCTCCCGTTTCTGACCCAGAGTCTGACAGCTCAGAGTCTACATTCACATCATCATCCTCTTTATCATCTCCACTAACTTCAGTCTCTGAAGAATCAGATGTCTGTTCATGAGGGTTCAGACCTGGGTTCCTGCTAGTTTCTGCTCCTCCACCAGCTGAGCTGCAGGCTGGAACATCTCTGTCTTCTAGTTGCTGCTGATGAAGCTGTGAGATCAGAGGTTTCTCTTCATCATCCTCACTCTTTATAGTAACTACAGTGACTGGAAACCTGGCAGCATCAGTCTCCTCCTTCAGATGGAGCTGCTCTCCCTCCAGACTGGTCCAGAGGTCGTCCTGTTCCTCCTTTATGTGAAGGTGTTCTGGGTCCTGCTGGTCCTCACCAGGAGCTTCTTCTTTAACCAGCACCAGCTGCTGAACATCTGCAGGAAACACAGAAACACTTTGTGTAAATTACTGACTGTACCTTTGAATTCAGTTCAGTTTATTTATAAAGCGCAAAATCAGGACCAGAGTCATCTCAAGGACCTTCACACAGTAAACATTCCAATACAGGTCAGGTCATTAAGCCGATCAGTAACAAGTTTCTTATATAAGGAACCCAGCAGGTTGCATCGAGTCACTGACTAGTGTCAGAGTCTTTACAGCAATCCTCATACTAAGCAAGCATGCAGCGACAGTGGAGAGGAAAACTCCCTTTTAACAGGAAGACAAACACACACACACACACACACACACACACACACACACAGGTTACATTGTGATTTCTTAGTAAATATTCTATTAGGTGAGAGATAAACTTTATAGTATTTATCCTAGTGAATCTATAATTAAACGGGTAAACTAGTAGTAGCACATCCAACATCAAAGAGAGTAAAGTGTTATTATCAGGAGAGGGAGAAGTGGTTAGCAGCAGTGTGCCGGTCGATGGCTAGGGTTAGGGTTCGATCTGGGCTAACATCAGATTTTAACCATAGGCCCTTTCAAATAAAACAGTTTTAAGCCTAGTCTTAAAAGTAGACATGATGTCTGCCTCACAAATGTTGTATTGTTGCTTTAATTTGGTGCGATGAGAACTGACCCAGAAAAGAGGAAATTACTTGCTGAGTGACGTTTGAATGTGAGGTGAATATACAAATATATTATAAATGTAGGCCTAGTTAGATTATTAATGTTTCTGAGAACGCTGACCAGCATCACTAACGGACACTGGCCTGACACTAGGGCTGCAACAAACGATTATTTGGATAATCGATTAATCGGATGGGATCTCGACACGATTAATCGATTAATCGGATTACATAGGGACATTTTTAAAAACTGCTAGGGAAACGTTATTTTTCTCCTTCCTTCACTTTATTAAACACATTATTAGAAAACAGTTCAATAGCAGAAAAACAACATGCCATCACCTAAATTTTCTTATAAGGTGTATAGACAGAGACCCTAAGCTACACCTATCTGTGACCTAAAATGCTTGGTCCAAGTTAAACAGCTTAAGGGCATTTCTCATCTGTTTTGTTTGATCTCATCTGTTGACATTTATTATAACTGGGGATGTCAAACAACTAATTTTTAAATGTAATCAAACATAGGCTGTGAATTAATCAAAATTAATCACTATTTCCAAAAATGACTGAAAAATACCAAATAAAATAAAAGTAAATGAATGCCATCCTCCTTGCGATGATGCCCTGGGCAACTGCCATAAAGTCACATCAAGAAATGCTGCTGATCATTCCAATGATCCCAAATAGACTCACATTAGGCCACATGAAAGCAACTGAACCCAAAAATATATTAACCAGTATATAACTGCACTCTCTAACAACACGCCTGCAGCAACAGTTAGGACTCCTCCCTCCCTTTTAAAAGCGTCTTCGCTTCTGAGGACATTGTGGTTGTAAAGCCACATGTTAGTAGTCTGGCCCCGGTGTGATCAACCAGTTTCTGCAGGAATGTGAAGGCGGAACCGGTTCGCAGCGGCGCAAGTCCCCCCCCCCCCCCCCCCCCCCCGCGCCTATCTAATAGCGTCGCGCTTACAATTTTATAGACTTTTTTTAACGGGCTTAGGGCATGTCTAGCCTGTGTGATAATCCGGGGCTTGGGTGAATCACTTTTGAAAAGTTTTTAACTTACCCGGACACCGAGCTCTCTCCTTCCTCGCTGATGATTCTGACATGCTTGCGCTTAAGACGCTGCATCATCACTGCAGCACTCCCGTGCCATGCTAAGTCTGACCTGCATGTCTTCGCCTGATTTAACTGAAAATGCTCCCAAACTTCAGAAGTTTTTACTTTTTTGGGGTCTCGCTGCTTCTGCCATGTTCCTCTTACAAACACCTGCCGGCTCTCCGGTCTGCGCACAACGGCGGGCGGGAGGGGAGGGGGCTTTTGGAAGAGTTGCGCAACACAACGAATCGATGACACAATTCGTTGCCAACGCTTTTAGTAATCGATTTTCATCGAATTTATCGATTCGTTGTTGCAGCCCTACCTGACACCAGGCCACACTTCAACGGTTTCTTTGGTATCTTCAACAGGTACTTGTATCACTTGTATCTTGCCTCATAATCGCTCCAGAACATTCTCTTTTCTTAGAGTTTCTCCCAATGATGTACTACAGACAATAAAAACACTCTGTTTAACTAAAGCTACTGGTCCTGATGGGATTGAGAATCCGTTATAGTTAGCTTCTGATGTTCTTGCACATTCTCTCTCAGATCTTTTTCATTTGTCACGTGACACTTGCTCTGTTCCAAAGGAGTGGAAATGCACCAAGATTAGTCCTTTATTTTTTTTTTTGGGGGGGGGGGTCGTGTGAACCAAGTATCTATCGACCAATTACAATAACAATGTAGTTGTGAAAACATTTGAAAAGTTAATAGTTAGAGTTCTATTGAAGAAAACCATTTATTGTCTCCTATCAATCAGGACTCTGCAAAGCCTTTTCTACCACCACCGCTCTCTTGAACCTCAGTAATGACGATACTCTGGCTTTGATGATAGCATGGCCACGGGGCTGTTTCTCTCCACTTATCTAAAGCATTTGATTTGGGTGACCACTACGTGCTCCTAGACACATTCATTTGGCGTATCTATCCTCTGGTTTCATTCTTTTTTTTTCATAATTGTTTGCTAATTATTGGTTTTAACAGGTCAGAGTCTAGACAATGCAGAGTTGTTGGAGGTGTTCCTCAGGGTTCCTCATTGGGGATTCTTATTTTCAATCTTTATTAATGAATAACGCTCTGTTGTTGCTGATGATACAATGTTATACTGCTTGAAACCTAGCTTAACTGAGATCCAAGAATGTCCTCAGTCTAATTTTAACAGCGTACAACACCGGTTAGTTCATAACAACTTAAAAAAATTTAAGTCATAGTCAATGCTTTTTTGAGAGAAATCCTCCCTTTGCTGTGCTTCGTGAATTCAATTTACAATTTTTAGATTCGTCTAAGCCGAAACCTTCTGCTTCCATCAAACATTTGGGTGTTTGGTTAGACCCGGATTTGTCCTTCAAAAATCTGTTACAAATAAGATCAGCTTTCTGATGCTGCCAACAGGACCACTTACACGTAGGGGGACCAGATGTCCAGCATTTTCATCACTTTTCACGTGTCCCGCAAATCGACTCATGTCCCGCATTATTGACAGTTTCCCCTTTCGAGTTTCAATCTTAAAGAAGAAACTGTGGAGAAACCTGCCTGTTGCTGTCAATCAAACGGAGGCGGAACTTTATCGCAGATCCGGAGCGTGTGTGGAGCACGCCCTAACCACCAAAACAAGCGTGAGTGAGCAGGGAGGAAAAAAATGCTGTAAACTCATGAATTCAACGAGTTCAGAGATACTCAATTCAATTCAATTCAAGTTTATTTATATAGCGCCAAATCACGACAAGAGTCGTCTCAAGGCACTTCACATAATAAACATTCCAATTCAGGTCAGTTCATTAAGCAAATCAGAAATAATGTTTCCTATATAAGGAACCCAGCAAATTGCATCAAGTCACTGACTAGTGTCAGTGACTATACAGCAATCCTCATACTAAGCAAGCATGCAGCGACAGTGGAGAGGAAAACTCGGTTTTAACAGGAAGAAACCTCCAGAGAATCCTGGCTCAGTATAAGCAGCCATCCTCCACGACTCACTGGGGATGGAGAAGACAGAGCGCACGCACGTACACACACACACACACACACACACACACACACACACACACACACACACACACACACACACACACACAGACCAGTACCTGCGTCCATGCTGATGGATGATCCTGAAGTGGTAGCAGGTTTTCTTTAGCCGTGTTTAGCTAACAGCTGCAATAGAAACAAAGCAGGAGAGCTGATTAAGATGCTGCTTCAGAACAACGCAGGAGATTAAAGATCCAACGCTTTGGTTCTGATCAGCCAAAGAGGAGCTTCTAACAGCCTGCGATGTTAAAATGACTCAGATTCAGGAAACTTTTCATTTGTAGCATACCACGAAAACAACATAGTACAAACAGTCAATCATGTGTATGACTAGCAGCATTACAACAGACGTAGAGGCTCTAGTGCTGAATATCCACCACCCTGGGTCCATGTTCCTTAGACACCTCCTTCCAGATGTAACAGTTTAATAACAGAAGGGACTAAAGAGTTCGAGCAGCAATTTGTTTTCCTAAAGCCTCCCGCACACAAGAGCAATCAGCCTCGAATGACCGTTAGCTCAGCCGATTGCTCTCGTGTGCGGCAGGCTTAAAGGATACATAAAACGATGCCCTGGGGGCATGAGCGCAAACTCAGAGCGTAGGGTGTGGAGAGGCTGACCCAAACAGCGCCTGCTCCTCCCTTAAGCCTAATTCATGCTTCTCCATCAGCTCCAACAGGGAGAGACACGCACAGACGGAGATGTTTTGCTCTCATACTTCTCCGTCTCCTGGGGAGTGTTGCAAAGCAATTCCCCGGCAGGACAGCAGAGGGCGTCGCACTGTTCTGTATTTATACTGCGTTTTTTGTATATAAGAGACTTTTTAACAGACAAATTTGTCTCATTCTCCTCCACCTCTTCATGTGCTTGCCACCTCTAAACCCACGTTTCCTGAGGGGCACCAGGCTGGAGGGGCGTCAGGCTGGAGGGGCGCCAGACTGGAGGGGTGCCAGGCTGGAGGGGCGCTAGGCTGGAGGGGCACCAGACTGGAGGGCTGGCAGGCTGGAGGGAAACCAGGCTGGAGGGGCGCTAGGTTGGAGGGGTGCCAGGCTGGAGAGGCGCTAGGCTGGAGGGGCACCAGGCTGGAGGGGCGCTAGGCTGGAGGGCTGGCAGGTTGGAGGGGCGCCAGGCTGGAGGGGCGCTAGGCTGGAGGGGCGCAAGGCTGGAGGGCACCAGGCTGGAGGGGCGCTAGGCTGGAGGGCTGGCAGGCTGGAGGGGCATAAGGCTGGAGGGGCACCAGACTGGAGGGGTGCCAGGCTGGAGGGGCGCTAGGCTGGAGGGGCGCTAGGCTGGAGGGCTGGCAGGTTGGAGGGGCGCCAGGCAGGAGGGGCGCTAGGCTGGAGGGGCGCCAGGCTGGAGGGGCACCAGGCTGGAGGGGCGCTAGGCTGGAGGGCTGGGTTGCTGGAGGGGCATAAGGCTGGAGGGGCACCAGACTGGAGGGGTGCCAGGCTGGAGGGGCGCTAGGCTGGAGGGCTGGCAGGTTGGAGGGGCGCCAGGCTGGAGGGGCGCCAGGCTGGAGGGGCACCAGGCTGGAGGGGCGCTAGGCTGGAGGACTGGCAGGCTGGAGGGGCATAAGGCTGGAGGGGCACCAGACTGGAGGGGTGCCACGCTGGAGGGGCGCTAGGCTGGAGGGGCGCAAAGCTGGAGGGCTGGCAGGCTGGAGGGGCGCCAGACTGGAGGGGCGCTAGGCTGGAGGGCTGGCAGGTTGGAGGGGCGCCAGGCTGGAGGGGCGCTAGGCTGGAGGGGTGCCAGGCTGGAGGGGCACCAGGCTGGAGGGGCGCTAGGCTGGAGGGCTGGTTGGCTGGAGGGGCATAAGGCTAAAGGGGCATAAGGCTGGAGGGGCACCAGACTGGAGGGGTGCCAGGCTGGAGGGGCGCTAGGCTGGAGGGCTGGCAGGCAGGAGGGCTGTCAGGCTGGAGGGGCGCCAGGCTGGAGGGGCACCAGGCTGGAGGGGCGCCAGACTGATGATGCAAAAATACCTTCAGCCTGCATTTCCTGTGGGTAATAACAGCTGTGTCCGTTTGCGATCTGCAGCTTATTTACTGAATAACAGAGAAGCACGTCAGTGCCTAAAACACAAGAAGAAGAAGCAAAAAGCCTTTCTTCTAAAGCAGGGGTGCCCAATCCTGGTCCTGGGGGGCCGGTATCCTGCATGTTTTAGTTTGAACTCTGTTTCAACACACCGGATTTCAATCAGCAGCTAGTTAACAGGCTTCTGCAGAGCCTGATGAGCTGCTGCACATGTGTTTCAACCACTGAATCAAGTCTGTTGGAGCAGAAAAACCACAAAACCTGCTGGATACCAGCCCTCCAGGACCAGGATTGGGCACCCCTGTGAGAGGTGTTTGCATCGTCGCCAGACGCCATCTTTGACTACAGTTAAAAACTACAGCTTAACGCGGTACAGTCGGCATTTCCGCCGTTTTCTGATTGGTTATTTTCGAGCTGACTAGTCCCGCCCCTCATGTGCTTCTGTGCCTGTGAGTAACCAGACTAGTTCTCTGTGTAGACTAGAGGACGAGTCTGGCAGGTCAGGCTACCTAGTGACATCAGTGCAGGTCTGGTGCTGAGCAGCATGGATGCATCACAGGGTTTTGCTGTAGTCGGTGTTCATGATGGATTAAAGACAGGACAGTACGCCAGAGCCACCATCAGGGGTAAGAATGGACTACAGCGTGTTGCACGCTCTGCTGAGAAGGTCACTGGCTGCTAACTCCCCTCCATACAGGACCTGTACACCTCCAGGTCACTGAGGCATGCAGGTCGGATCAGAGCTGACCCGTCTCACCCTGGACACAGTCTCCTCAACTCGCTCCCATCTGGCAGGAGGCTCTCAGTCGGACCAGAACCTCTCACCACAAGAACCGCTTCTTCCCCTCTGCTGTCGGACTCATGAACAACAATCGTAGACCCGCCCACTCCAGCTGCTTGGTTCCAGTCACATGACCCGGTGTTGTTTGCACCTGAACTGACCCGCTCTGACCAGAACCTACACTGACTTGTATAAAGTAGCTGCTTAAAATGACTGTTTCTCTATATTATTATCGAGGCTGAAGTTAGCTTCAGATTCCAGCTTCTGATTCAGGAAACGGCTAAAGGGCCAATACACTAGGGCTGTCGCGATAACAGCAAAAATGAAATATCGCAATATGAAGAAGCCCACCGCGCTGCATCATGGGCCACCGCGATTACTGAACTTGGTTCAACTCAATGATGCATGTTGAGAAGGATGGCTGCACTGGTATCAAAACGAAACGTTACTTCGCTCCTTTGGGAGCACTTTGGTTTTCAGTACGTCAGCTGCTGCGCAGCCAGAGTCCTTGGCCGAGACAGAGCTGCCACCAGCGGCAAAAAAATAATAATAAACGCTCGGAGACCTGCTGAAGTCCCGGACAAGCACTGCTTCTGCAACCGTCCCGAAGAGAGTTTGAGCCGAGCTGGAGCTCACTCGCTACCTGCAGGAGGAATGCATCCACCCTAAAGAAATCCCCCTGACATGGTGGAGCAACAAGCGGGAGAGATTCCCTTTGCTCGCCAGTCGCACGCAAGTACGTGTGCGTTAGTGCAACGAGCGCACCATCCGAGAGGGTTTTCAGTGTTGCTGGAAATGTTGCCACCCCTCTCAGATCCTCTCTCAAACCGTATATGGTTAACATGCTGGTTTTCCTTGTGGGTAACAAGGACGTGACCGAGCTATAAATCACCGTCATTCGTGTGTGTGAAAGTGAAATGATAGTGCGCCCGCCCCCCGGCGCGCGCGCGCCCGGTACATGTAATTTTTTATGCTTGATTTTAAACAACTAAACAAAATGGGGACTTGTTTATTATTTATTAGATGCTGCAGCCAAATTTGCATTTAAAAGTTTAACCTTCTCCTGAATTTTGTTGTTTTTAAGTTCAGTCGGACTCAGACTGTCGGAGAAACAAACGTTACTGCGATCTGTGTTCTTACTGCCCTTTGATCTGCATTCAGTAAAGTGTTATAAAAGAAGACACGGCAATTTTTAACCTTTTTTAAATGTGTAAACATTATGTTTAGATAGTACTGCAATAAAAAAAGGGCTGCAATAATATCGCACACCGCAATATTAAGCCACCCTGAATCACCGCAGGAGGAATTCCTCAACCGCGACAGCCCTACAATACACCCAATTGTTCTCTACTCTGACCATCTTTAATCTGCTCTAGCTCAAAAACTACAACAGCCACACTGTTCAGCCCTGTTCTAGATTATTCTACTATAACAGCAGATCAAATAAAACACAGTGTGGGATTTGTGACACCTTTCCCTGATTTGTGAAACTTCAACAAAGCCTTAAAAAATCGGTCTGCGCATGCCCCATAGTAACACGACGAGCACGGATAGTCCGACTATCTTGAAAATACGCCTCCACAACAGTTCCTCCGCTCCTCCATTGTTCTAACGGCGTCGTCTTTTTCTCCCGGGCCGGCTCTCAGACAGGAACTCCGTCATATTACCGTAATGTATCGTACACCTCTGAAAAGCGCGGAGTGTCACCTTTCTGAAACCAGGGCTGAGGCAGAGGAAAAGAATGAGCATGGTGAGATGGATGAGAGGTAAGACAATCTGGCTGTGTCTCAATTCAGGGTCTGCATCCTACGTCGGCCGGATTCGTCGGCCGGTTACGTCACAGCGCCGCGACTAGGCCTGTCCCGATTCGAAGACTCCTTCAAATGCGGTCGACGAATGCGGCCTTCTTTTCGCCTGAATGAAGGATGGGTCCGGTGTATCCTTCAATAGGTAGCATTTCCCAAGATGCCTTGCGGGCCGGCCGGCAGAAAAACTTAAAAACAATGGCGGACAGTGAAGCGGGAGCTGTCGGAGAGGATTGCGCACATAAATGTCAGTATAAACCTAAACTGTTAGGTTAAGGACTTTTTGTGATACATGAACGTTATTTTAGTTAGAAATGTTACAGTAAAAGTGCTTGTATAGCGGTCTCGGCTCGTATGTTCGGCCGCTCGGTGTCGTACTTCTCCCGCTACGTTTCCCCCTGATTTTAATAGAAGTTTGTATTTTAGGGACAAAAGAGAAAACCAGGGAAGTTATTAAGCTTAGGGCGGAGATGGACCACATGATCACCGGAGCAAAGTATTCGGCGGCTGTGGCATGGAGGTACAATAACATCTCATATTTTAAAAACTCGTTTGAGTTTATGTGTTTCTGCGAAAACATGAAAGGAATAACCCGTTGTCCTCTTTTCTCTTCCTGTTTCTTTTCTTACATGTTTGTTAAGACTATTCTGGAGAAAATGGGCATCCAGGGGAAGGTGCCAGCGATGAGCTTCTGGAGCTGATCAGGGAGGACATGAGGCTGCAGAGGGAGGCAGAGCAGCAGAGGGCACAGGAGAGAAGGAAGAACTTTGACAGCTTTTTACTTTGCTAGAAAAAATGGTTAATGAAGATTAAACATGTACATATAAAAGAAATATCTAAATAAAATCAGTTCTGCATTAAACTCTTGAATTTTATTTTTGTTTACAAATGAGAATTGTTTACTAGAGGGTATCCGCTGGGTCTTAAAGTCTTAAAAGGTGATAAATCGGTTTTGGTCAAATGAAGACCCTTAGAAAGTATTAAAAACTATTATCACATCTTTGCTCAGGCTCAGCTTGTCTAAAGTATTTTCTCTGAATTAGCTCTCCAACAGTCAAGGAAATGATTAAAAAGCTAAATAAAACTTTGAGCTCCATCGTTTAAAGTTCCTTCTCCCTTCTGCTCAGCGGTTCCACGGTTGCTAGGCGACGGAACGTTTACCGAGGGAGAGGCGGGAATTCATGAAGGCTAGGCCTGTCCAAATTCACAGCCGTTAACATCCGGTCTACCCGGCCGACGGAGGACCCAGCCCACGTCGGCCGAGTAGGCTGGGTCCTTCGAAGGATGCAGACCCTGAATTGAGACACAGACAATCTGAGTCACTGAAAGATATCTGCAAGAACAGATTTGTTGTATGTCTTTGGGAATGGAGAAATATAGAATAGCTGAAAAATTCTTTTCTTGCAGCAAAAAAGCGAAACTTCTCATGAAACTGAAAACAGAAATGGAGAGACGTTCAATTATCTGAAGTTCTCTGGAATGTGGAGACTAAAAAAGTTTGAGGCTGAACATTTATGCTTGTTTTTAATTAAGACACGCAAACATCAAAGTAATTGTTGCATAGTTGTGGCTGTTGTGTAACTGTGCTACATGTCACCGAGAAAATACAATCTGTGTTGGAGTTTCACAAATCAGGGAAAGGTGTCACAAATCCCACACTGTGTTTTATGTGATCTGCTGTTATAGTAGAATAATCTAGAACAGGGCTGAACAGTGTGGCTGTTGTAGTTTTTGAGCTAGAGCAGATTGAAGATGGTCAGAGTAGAGAAAAATTGGGTGTACTGGCCCTTTAGCCGTTTCCTGAATCGGAAGCTAACTTCAGCCTCGTATATTATTATCAGTATTTCATTCTGTTTATTTCTTAGTATTTATTATCATTTATTGTTTCGTGCACCGCAGTAAAGCCCTAAGAACCTTCTGGTTCTGGTACCAAGAGCGTGTATAAATACTTGCCCCCGGACCCCTACAGCACTTATTTGTCATGTCTGCTCTGTGGTGCTGGTGCACATCTAGGGTGGGTTAAATACCTACACACTTCATAAAGATGGGGCTCTGGGAAGCGGGCTGTGTGCTGCACACCCCTCCGAAAGCAGGTAGATGCGCCCCTGTCCGGCTGCAGACAATGGATGACCCGAACCCACCGCGGACTAGAGGTGTCTCTGGTGTCCAGCATCACTAGTGAGCACGACTAAGAGCGGTAAACAGAGTCTAGAGGAGTCCTACCTGAGTCCCAGCCTCAGTCCAACACTTAAAGCTGCTGTTGGTTCTCTCACACCGCCTGTAGAAACACTAACACACACCTAAATCCACCCAGACACCTACCAGAACGTTCCTCCTGCAGCTCCGTGGAGAACCAGAGTAGCGCATGCGCAGTGCTGTGGTCTCCTTCTTCTTCTATGACGGTTGGTAAACAGCTCAGGTGCATTACTGCCATCTACCGGCTCGTGCCTCACCAGAAAGAGCAAGTTGCTATATAAGATTTCTGATTTGTGATATAACATGACCAGAGCTGACTTGTCATTAATGCTAAAGGAAGGAAAGGTTACGTTAATAAACTACAGCAATGACACGAGTCATCAAGCTGTAAGTTAATAAACTACAGCAATGACACGAGTCATCAAGCTGTAAGTTAATAAACTACAGCAATGACACGAGTCATCAAGCTGTAAGTTCATAAACTACAGCAATGACATGAGTCATCAAGCTGTAAGTTCATAAACTACAGCAATGACACGAGTCATCAAGCTGTAAGTTAATAAACTACAGCAATGACACGAGTCATCAAGCTGTAAGTTCATAAACTACAGCAATGACACGAGTCATCAAGCTGTAAGTTCATAAACTACAGCAATGACACGAGTCATCAAGCTGTAAGTTAATAAACTACAGCAATGACACGAGTCATCAAGCTGTAAGTTAATAAACTACAGCAATTACACGAGTCATCAAGCTGTAAGTTAATAAACTACAGCAATGACACGAGTCTTCAAGCTATAATTTAATAAACTACAGCAATGACACGAGTCATCAAGCTATAATTTAATAAACTACAGCAATGACACGAGTCATCAAGCTATAATTTAATAAACTACAGCAATGACACAAGTCATCAAGCTGTGAGTTAATAAACTACAGCAATGACAGGAGTCATCAAGCTATAATTAAATAAACTACAGCAATGACACGAGTCATCAACCTGTAAGTTAATAAAATACAGCAATGACACGAGTCATAAAGCTATAATTTAATAAACTACAGCAATGACACGAGTCATCAAGCTATAATTTAATAAACTACAGCAATGACACAAGTCACCAAGCTGTGAGTTAATAAACTACAGCAATGACATGAGTCATCAAGCGGTAAGTTAATAAACTACAGCAATGACACGAGTCATCAAGCTGTACGTTAATAAACTACAGCAATGACACGAGTCATCGAGTTGTGAGTTAATAAACTACAGCAATGACACGAGTCATCAAGCTATAATTTAATAAACTACAGCAATGACAAGAGTCATCAAGCTGTAAGTTAATAAACTACAGCATTGACACGAGTCATCAAGCTGTGAGTTAATAAATTACAGCAATGACACGATTCATCAAACTGTAAGTTATTAAACTACAGCAATGACACAAGTCATCAAGCTGTAAGTTAATAAACTACAGCAATGACACCAGTCATCAAGCTGTGAGTTAATAAACTACAGCAATGACACGAGCCATCAAGCTGTAAGTTAGTAAACTACAGCAATGACACGAGTCATCAAGCTGTACGTTAATAAACTACAGCAATGACACGAGTCATCGAGCTGTGAGTTAATAAACTACAGCAATGACACGAGTCGTGAAGCTGTGAGTTAATAAACTACAGGAATGGCACGAGTCATCAAGCTATAATTTAATAAACTACAGCAATGACACGAGTCATCAAGCTGTAAGTTAATAAACTACAGCATTGACACGAGTCATCAAGCTGTGAGTTAATAAATTACAGCAATGACACGAGTCATCAAGCTGTAAGTTAAAAAACTACAGCAATGACACAAGTCATCAAGCTGTAAGTTAATAAACTACAGCAATGACACCAGTCATCAAGCTGTGAGTTAATAAACTACAGCAATGACACGAGTTATCAAGCTGTAAGTTAGTAAACTACAGCAATGACACGAGTCATCAAGCTGTAAGTTAGTAAACTACAGCAATGACACGAGTCATCAAGCTGTAAGTTAGTAAACTACAGCAATGACATGAGTCATCAAGCTGTGAGATAATAAATTACAGCAATGACACGATTCATCAAACTGTAAGTTAATAAACTACAGCAATGACACAAGTCATCAAGCTGTAAGTTAATAAACTACAGCAATGACACCAGTCATCAAGCTGTGAGTTAATAAACTACAGCAATGACACGAGTCATCAAGCTGTAAGTTAGTAAACTACAGCAATGACACGAGTCATCAAGCTGTAAGTTAGTAAACTACAGCAATGATACGAGTCATCAAGCTGTAAGTTAGTAAACTACAGCAATGACATGAGTCATCAAGCTGTAAGTTAGTAAACTACAGCAATGACACGAGTCATCAAGCTGTGAGTTAATAAATTACAGCAATGACACGATTCATCAAACTGTAAGTTAATAAACTACAGCAATGACACAAGTCATCAAGCTGTAAGTTAATAAACTACAGCAATGACACCAGTCATCAAGCTGTGAGTTAATAAACTACAGCAATGACACGAGTCATCAAGCTGTAAGTTAGTAAACTACAGCAATGACACGAGTCATCAAGCTGTAAGTTAATAAACTACAGCAATGACACCAGTCATCAAGCTGTGAGTTAATAAACTACAGCAATGACACGAGTCATCAAGCTGTAAGTTAGTAAACTACAGCAATGACACGAGTCATCAAGCTGTAAGTTAGTAAACTACAGCAATGACACGAGTCATCAAGCTGTAAGTTAATAAACTACAGCAATGACACGAGTCATCAAGCTGTAAGTTAGTAAACTACAGCAATGACACGAGTCATTAAGCTGTAAGTTAGTAAACTACAGCAATGACACCAGTCATCAAGCTGTGAGTTAATAAACTACAGCAATGACACGAGTCATCAAGCTGTAAGTTAATAAACTACAGCAATGACACGAGTCATCAAGCTGTAAGTTAATAAACTACAGCAATGACACGAGTCATCAAGCTGTAAGTTAGTAAACTACAGCAATGACACGAGTCATCAAGCTGTAAGTTAGTAAACTACAGCAATGACACGAGTCATCAAGCTGTAAGTTAATAAACTACAGCAATGACACGAGTCATCAAGCTGTAAGTTAGTAAACTACAGCAATGACACCAGTCATCAAGCTGTGAGTTAATAAACTACAGCAATGACACGAGTCATCAAGCTGTAAGTTAGTAAACTACAGCAATGACACGAGTCATCAAGCTGTAAGTTAGTAAACTACAGCAATGACACGAGTCATCAAGCTGTAAGTTAATAAACTACAGCAATGACACCAGTCATCAAGCTGTGAGTTAATAAACTACAGCAATGACACGAGTCATCAAGCTGTAAGTTAGTAAACTACAGCAATGACACGAGTCATCAAGCTGTAAGTTAGTAAACTACAGCAATGACACGAGTCATCAAGCTGTAAGTTAGTAAACTACAGCAATGACACGAGTCATCAAGCTGTAAGTTAATAAACTACAGCAATGACACCAGTCATCAAGCTGTAAGTTAATAAATGTAACGTGAGGAAATATGGGTTTTCTGTCACAAAGGTCATTTGACTCGGCTGGGTCAAAGAGCTGGGTCGCTGAGAACTTTCACCCACAGATTGAGACCTTTGCAGACATGAAGTCTGCAAGAGTCTGCTGGAAACCATAACATCTGAACACCTGCAGTCTGCCAGAAGATGTGTTCTCAGGAAATGTAGTCATAACAAGTCTTAAACTTCCTTTCTTGATTTTAATGTTAAAGAATAATCATTATCATTTTGCTCATTATAAATGTGTTTTAATCAAATGAATGATTCTTATGCTTTGGGTAATTATAATGGATTAATGAATCCATACTTAAATAATGTTTGAGGATGTTTGTTAACGACCTTCACGCACACACACACTCAAACACACCCACACACAGATTCTCACAGTAAACTCCAAAACACATTTGCTGACTCACACGTTTGCTTTGAGAAGAGAAAGGCTTTTGGTAAGTTTCAGTTTATGATTCAGTTCGTGCTGGACAACGAAAGAGAGAGGACGTGTGAACAACCGCTAACGGGGGAACGGAGCCCACCGGCTCCTCCCCCCCCCCCCCCCCCCCCCCCTCTCACGCTGTTCCTGCCAAGCCAGACAGGATAGCTGAATTGCAACTGCTAACGCAGACTCGTCCAGAGTCTTTGATGTCTGAGTGAATTAAACTTAAGAAAGCGCATCGACAAGACTCTTTACCATCAACGTGTACCGAGGGCAACTCTGGACCGGTTCGTGGCGCATCTTTGTCTTCTTTGCCAGCCAAGGTGCCCTGGATGAAACATCATCCTAAGGTGACGTCCCGGGTCCAACAGGGAGTCCAAATACGGTGAGGCATTCCACGACAGATAGCGTTTTGATGCATCTTTTCCAACAAAACCTAAGTTTATTCAAACCATCACCTTTCACTCAGACACCTGTTTCTTCCTGAAGCAAAATCTGACACACACACACGCATTCATCTCACCTCATGTTCAAGCTTCATACACTCACCACAAGGTCTATTTGAGCAAGAACAGCATATCAAAGATTGTCCCACAAAGTTGCCAATGTTGATTGTTATTTCCTGTTTGTCAGTTTCAAAATCATTAGTTTAATTTGAAGAGTTAAAACTTTTAATTGTCAAACTTGTTTCTTCATTGAACTGAAACACAGACACACGGATATTATCGTCAGTTTATCGATGAAAACAACCTTTGAGTCTTCTTAAAACTATACAATTTGGTTATTAATTTAATAAAATTAATATCACAAATTCATATGTAGAATGGTTCCTCTTTCATAAAAGAGCATAAACCATAGTCCTACATAATTGGCAGAGCCTAATTTAGGTTCACAACAGTACATACTAAATTCCATTACACGTACAACCAAACTGAAAAGCTCATCAACTATTATATTAATTACCAGTAAAAGAAGAAAAACCATACCAAACTGGATTTTAATTTAATTAAAGGAAAATGACAGACGGTCTAAAAGATACAGCCCTACAATATGCACCAAGTATTACTACTATAAAGGTAATTTACTAGACTAGACCAAGTACATTTTCAAACCATATTTGGAGAGATTAAATTGAAATGCTCCCACATCTCAGAATGCCCTTTTTGCTGCAGGATCCATTATTGCGACTC